TGGATAAGATCCCTGCCGATGAATCTAAAATACCAAACTTATTATTAATAGATACATATTTATTTACGATATTATATTATAAGTTATATTTAATACCTTTTTAAAAAATCCCATTGGAACTGGATTTATTTGCTGAAATAAGTGTCTGCAAATAAAAAAACGGCTAAACAAGAACTTAAAACATGAACACACTCATTTTTGTATATTAGTAATCCCTGAGAATTAGAATGAATTGGCTTTTTGTTAAGTTGATTCCACTCTGCTTTAAGATCAATTCTCCAACGTATTATAGTTTGACTATCTCGTAACTGCTGTAATCGATCAACTTGCCTAGGTAGAACTCATGTTATAATAATATAGGCCAATAAATCTAAACAAGCACGATTATATTCAGAAAGATAATCATGCTTGATTACACGCCAATAACTCTCAATTGTCATAGTAGATCGTATAACATTAATATGCTTTGTTACAGAATGCGCCCACAAATTCCATCTTTCTGGATGGTACTATTTGTTACACAAATAATTCCAAACATGTGGTAAATTATTAACTCTACAAAATTCATACTGTTCTTGAACACAATTCTGCCAAATTTTACTAGATGATTTAGTGCTAAGTTGATTTTTAGTTGGAATTAAAGAATGTAATAAAAAATAAATTCTAATTAGTTGGATAATATGTTCACGAAAATCTTTTCTACAAAAAATTTTGTACTTGTCCACAATTTTAGATTCACAAATCGGCTGCCAGGTCAGATCTATAATCGAACAAAGCATATGTGCCTCCTTTGCATTATATGTCTGATATGTTATACCAGTGCTTGATAACTTTTTTTTGATTGCACGAAAAACGTGCCAATAATATAGCTGGATTTGTGCTTGTGGCCAAATTTTTTGAGCAGGAGTTATTTGCGCAAAGTCCTTGTCGGTTAAAAAAGTTTCAACATTATGAATACCCTTCTCTTTAATTATATAAAACCAGTTTTGAATAATTGTTGACCGCTTCTCTTTCTGACCAGGTTTTAAAAACATATAAGTTAATGGAAACCCAGCTCCATCAATTATTCCAAGTATGGTATATAATTCGTAATTCAAATGGTTTGTTTTATATATGGCATCAATTACAATTGTAGTAATCTTGCTTTTTGAAAAAAGATCGAATAGAGGAGTTGTAAATGCAATAACTGTAGGTTTTTTAATGATTATTTTAAACATTGGATGCCTTGAAAGATATTGAATAGTTGATTCAGCTTGGTCCTCAACAATTTTGTATTCCTTGAGACCTAATCATTTACACCAATAATAAATCTGATGTTGTGTAAGAGAAATATATCCATTAAGACGAATAGTCTTTATATTATTATATAATTGGGGAATAGTAAGAATTTTGTTATTTTGAATATAAGCTTTGATTTCAGATGAAACAGCAATAGATCAGGGCTGAGGGTGTAGTAAATGATAAATACGAATATAAATCAACCTATGAGACCGCTTAATTGTAATAAGGATAGAATCTTCACATTCAAATCGTAAAAGTCGAGGTTCAGTATCTCAATGTTTAGCAACATTTTCAATACGTGCTCTTTTGTTTTTTCTTTCAATTTTACAATTGCAATAAAAAACAAAAGATTCACCCTCTTTTAACTTGTCACGAGTATAGTAAATATATGTATATCCATCTGCCTTGGAAATAAGCTCTATAACTTGATACGCTACAATTTTATTACTTTCATCTTTGTCAGTAGTTTCAATTTGATCAAGGAAAGCATCAAGAAAAATCGTAATCTCCACATTAAATATCTGCTCACAAGGTTTTGCATCTTCAAAATCTTTATAAAGTTTCAAAAAACCTAATAATACCTCCACAAGCTCTTCCCATTTGTAAGCATGATCTTGACATCGTTTAATTTGTTTAGATTCATTATTTTTTGCTTTTACTTTATTGGTGTTATTAATTGATTCTCGACATTTGTTGCATGATTTAACGCTTCTTCCTCGCAATCCAACAAAATTTTCTTTAGAGTACCACCCTTTACAATGATCACATTTTTGTAAGTTTTCTTTATTACTAATCATAATATAGTGTTTTAATATAATATAGCGTTTTAATAGCAAAAGTGAAAATCTGCAATAAGAAATAAATCTCCCGATTCAATTGTTTTTTTTTTAACTTTTAATAACGATAAAAAAACGCTTAAGCAAAAAAAAACTTATAGCAACGACGATGAAAAAAATGATTTTTGAATAAGGGCAAAACCTTAATTTTATTGTAAACGCTTAAGCAAAAAAAATTTTAAATAGCAATGACGATGAAAAAAAATTTAAATAAGGGCAAAGCCCCCAATTTTATTGTAAGTGCTTTGTAAAGACCTGATATATTGCAATCACTTGATATTACTTTTTATTTTTTATTCATGTAGAAAGGAGAAATTAAACATGTAAAAAGGGATATGCATCACTTATATATAATGATCTACATTTCACGTGATTCACATTACACAGCGAAATTTTTTTGACTGGTGATATTTGATCACTAAATTAGCCTTGTTGAACACATTAGAAAAATCTATACTAAAATTATTACTAACAGACTCAATTTAATTTTTTAACAATACTCTATTTGGATATTCTATAGAATAGATGGACAATATAAGAAATAAGCTTTACTAATAATTAGTAATCATTAATTTTTTAATAGCGAAGTTGCAGAGTTTGCAGAGTTTGCCCACCTATTCTATAGAACATCCCTCTATTTTATCATTTTTCAACTATGCTGCTCTATTCAGAAACTCCACCATTATTTCTATACATATTCTACAAAATTTTATTGAGGATACTATCTGTAATCATAAAAACATATGGCTTCTGTCTTAAGACATGAGAAAGACCTACAATTCTGTTAACGTTAAAAAAATAAATTTAGTGCAAACTTCCTCTTTCCCCTTCTATAACTAATGGTAGCTAGTCTTAAATTAGTTTACAAATAGAAAATTAAGAGGTGATTTACTACACTTAGGTGGTTATACAGGATATAATAGATAGTTCAAAATTAATATCATCTTGATACAAATCTGTAACTAATCTCATTATATATATAGCAAATTCAAAATAAAAAAAAAAATAAAAAAAATAAATAAATTTAGTGCAAATTTACACAAATTTTTAAACAAATTTAATATATGAAAATTTGTGAAAATTTGCTAATCTGCCAGAAATTTTTGGAAAAAAATAAAAATTTGCACAAATTTTTATATATTTAATATTTGCAAAAATTTTTAATAAAATAAATTTCACAAATCTGTAAAAAATTTTTTAAAATTTTTATTTTTTTATTTTAAATTTGCTGTATACAGAATAAAATTAGTTCCAGATTGTATCAAGATGATATTAATTTAAACTATCTATTATATCTTGTATAATCACTTAAATGTAGCAAATCATCTCTTAATTTTCTATTTAAAAACTAATTTAAGTTAAACTACCATTAGTTATAGAAGGGAAAAGAGAAGGCCCAGTTTAAATTTTTTTAAAGCATTATATATTTAATTAGGTCTCTTTTAGTACTACTAAATAGAAAGATAAAAAATATATATATTTAAGATTTTTTGCAAATTTTTGAAAATTTTTGTTTTTTAATATTTAAAATTTATTTTATCAAAAATTTTTGCAAATATTTAAAATCTAAAAATTTGTGCAAATTTTTATTTTTTTATTCCAAAAATTTCTGGCAGGTTAGCAAATTTCTGCAAATTTTTATATATTAAATTTGCTTAAAAATTTGTGCAAACTTGTAACAAATTTATTTTTCTGATGAAGGTGAAACTATTATTCCACTTCTGTAGAGAATATATTATGTTCCATTTATAATATATATTCACTTACATTTCTTTGGATATACTATATAAACATTTAGAATTACTAGTTTCAAAAACAAATCTTTTAAACAAATTAATGCCAAATGCTCAGTATTAGCTTATATAGATAATACTCTTTGGCTTGTCTCTTCTTAACATGAACTTTCTCAGATTCTTTAGGTTGCTCAATCATTTTATAATATAACCAATATATTAGTCATTTTCTCTAAATCTATTCTCTGCTCTAATAATCCTCCTCTTTATTACAACTCTATTATCTACAACTCACATTTACTATCCTTACATTTACTTCATACACCTTTCAAGTTTCTTGGATGTTAGTTTAGTCTAGACAACAAATTTACAAAACAAACACAACTTATTATTGAAGAATCACTATATTTTATTCAAATTGCAGATACTAAAGTATTACTAATACTTATACTCAGTATATTGTTAATATAGTAATTATATCTATAATTGAATACAGACTCTATAATCTTGTACTCAGCCAATATATCTGTAAAAAATACTTTCTCACTATATTAAGCTTGCCAAACACAAGGCTAAACTGAATCGAACTATTCTTACAAATACTTTTTTATATCCACAATTTTATAATATCTGTAATATTTGAGATATTCAACTTCAATATTATATTACTAACTACATTAAGCAGATTAATAACCCAGACCTTCTGGGCATCACTTCTAAAATCCATCTTCAACAACTTCAAAATAATCTTTGGTTATTCAAAAATATTTTAATATATTCTAATTCAATTATTAATAGTTCTAACAAATATATAACTAATTTTAAAATTATTAAGCTATTTAAGCACCTCAATATATCAATTATCTACAATCCAATTTATAATATTTCATTTACTCCAAATGAAGGTACACTCCTCTGACAGTAATTACAGGAATTTTGATTTTCACATTACCTAATAATGATCATAGCCACATATGTAACTTGTTTTTTTAATAAGGAAAGTAAACTTGGTGAGTAAGTGAAGTTGTTTAGAATAACAATTTGCATATATTCTAAGATTTTTAAAAATTTTAAATAAAATTTTATTAAGTTGTATTTAGTGTTTTTAATTAAAAAAACGAAAAATAAAAAAATTGTTATTAGCTTGACACATTTTTAAACCCTATTATAAATAATAGTTGCTTTTAAAATATATTATTCTCTGTACCCAAAAGTATATAAGATTAAATTTTTATAGAGCAATTCAAAAAACTTCTCATAAATTATTGAGTTTAATTAAGACATTTGACAAATAAAAAAACTGCAATTTTTGTATCTTAAAGTTCATTATAATAGAACATTATAAAATTTTATTAAAAATCTCCCAAAATAAAATATCTAAGTATACATTGATTTAATCTATATATGATTATCTTTTAAAGCTATTCTAATACAAATTTTGTAATGTTTTATTATAACAAACTTTAAAATACAAAAATTGCAGTTTTTTTATTTGTCAAATGTCTTACTTAAACTCAATAATTTATGAGAAGATTTTTGAATTGCTCTATGAAAATTTAATTCTATATACTTTTGGATACAGAGAATAACATATTTTAAAAGCAACTATTATTTATAATAAGGTTTAAAAATGCGTCGAGCTAATAACAATTTTTTTATTTTTTGTTTTTTTTGATTAAAAACACTAAATACAACTTAATAAAATTTTATTTAAAATTCCTAAAAATCTTAGAATATATGCAAATTATTATTCTGAACAACTTACTTTTATTTTTTTAGTATTAAGGTGAAGCCTTGCTCATATTTTTATTAATAATTTTATTGGGTAATAGTAACCATAGGTTGAGTAATCAACTGGTGTAAATGTTACTACAATTCGTAAGAGTACAAATAAAAATAAAATTATACAGCAAGAAT